GAAAAAAAAAAAAAAATAATATATATATATATATATATATAATATATATATATATATACGCGCAATATTTTAATTCTCCCTTTTATCCGACTAGTACACAGCTTTAAGCGCTGTTACGCCGTTCAATGAACGAATAAACGAACAAATGAATAAACGAACAAACGAAGCTATGCTACAACTGCATTCGCGTAGTACGGATGAATCGCGACCTTTCTCTCTCTCTCTCTCTCTCTCTCTCTCTTGAATGATAGACTCTTCGAAGAAAGACTCGTCGGTATAGCGCAGCGGTACCTTAGCACATAATTTTACAAACCTATACTAAGGTGTTTATTCTTTCGCTTATACACTAAATATTATTCTTTTTCCCGTTCGAGTTCGTAACAACATATACACACACACGCATACACGCACACACACAGATACACGACATACAACTTATATATATACATCCATAGACGCATACAGAAAGAGCATGTAATTTTACTCGCGCGTGTAATTCTTTCGTCTACACGAATGAGACGAAGATAGACAGATAGGCAGGCATACAGACGAACAAACATTCATGCACTCGCATTGTTATTACAATTTTATAGATCTATATTATTATGGCCATGGATATTTCCTTTTATATATTTCTGATTCGATTGCTTTCCTTACACAATATTTGTCGCTGCTCGTCCTTTACTTTACGCACTCTCTTCTCGCATTTGAATATCCCTTCGAAAAAGCATTTATCTACGCCGCATCGTTAACATATTGACGATATGAAACGGTGCACGCTCGATCGATATCACGTTGGTGGAAGCCATTGCCGCTTCGAAAACGACAATGGGATGATGGCGTGGGTTCAAGGGAGCGAAAATTGTATGAAACACATCCTGAAATAAAACAATATCGTGCGAGAAATAGATATCGGTCGAGAATGCATTATTAGTTTTCTCATGAAACTATTGTATTACCAAGACTGTGGTTGATTACGCCATACGCTATTGTACATACATATACTATAAATGAACGAACGGAACAAGTAACAAAAATGTATCGTTAAAAATTCGAAGATGTAGTTTTTGAGAGAAAGATGTCAATCGATAACGTGTGATCAATAGCGAGAATTAGGCTATGAAAGGTATGATATATTATTATTTGTAGATGAAAACGCATTCAATCGTTTATTATTTCATCTTCTTTTTTCTCTCTTTCTCTCTCTTTATTATTTTCATTTTTCTCTTCGCATTCGTATATTCTTTCCACTACCTCATCATACCTTTCGATTTACGAAAGAATTAAGAATAAAGAAATGGGAGAAGAATATGAGAAAATTACGAAGAAATTATGAAAAAATTACAAAAAAAAAAAAAAAAAAAGAAATTACGAAAAAGAGAAAAAGAAAATCGCGATACATTCGTGTTTCTTGATGGCTTCCATGATTAAAGAATCATGGTTGTAATTAATGTGTAACGCTTTTTTTCGTCTCTACGTCGTAAGCACGTGCAATGACGCATGCGTGGTCTCACATGATTCTTCTCTCGCTAAACGACAAATCGATAACGTTATTCTCGCTAACAAATGTTCCAATTTTCAAGGGAAATGCCGATTTTCCTTGAAATTTGA